AATGAATGGGATTTTAACGTTTACAACACAATTATATAATGAAGAAATCATTTTATTAAAATTATATGAATTAGCTAACAATTTTAAAGCTTTTTAAACAAATATTTGAACCTTATAGTATTAATTTTGTACAAAATCTTATTTTTTTTAACAAACAGGAACATTTTAATATTCCGTAATTATTTTATAAACAATAAGTTTAGTAATACATGGGTTTGTTAAGAAATTAAGTATATATCTGACATATTTTCACCCCCAGTAAAAATGTATAAAAGATATTGTTTCATAATTTCTAAGGTTCTGCGTGCTAGGTTGTTTAAGTTTATAAAAAACATTGAAATATTTTATTTGTTTTGACGAATCAGAGTAAAACTCAACGCAGATCGTGTTATTGGGTTGTTTTTATGTGCTAAAAATAAATTATACAAATAATATACACACACATGACTATCAGAATAGAATATTTTATTTAGAAACTAATGATTCTAAATTATGAAGGAACAAAGATTTTGATACAATTGTCAATGAGCAATTAAGGCCTTAATAGTAACAAATAAAGAAAAGAAAAAATAAACATTCAACGAATAAAAACCGACCGATTATTATAATTATTTAAATTATTTTCATAGCCATTTGAGGGCAAAATTGAAGCAACTGGTCACACAATTATTAAAATTTGTGAATTTGTAGTCATAATGACAGATAAATATGGTTTATACAAAAAATGTGTAAGTTAATAATTAAAATATAAATATTGTTGGTATGAAAACAAGTTGCAAACTGTACATGATTGTAGGATTGCGCGGGCGCCTCCCAGCCAGCCTGATTTACTGCTGTCTTAATGAAACCTGTTGTGTTGTTGGAATTATTTATTATTTACCAACTAGCCCACTGGAAATTGCCAGCTACTGTATTAGATAATAATTGACTTTGTATTGCAATCACGACACTTACCAACTCCAATAAATAAACACAATGTTGACTGTTGGGATCGTTACGTTTTATTAGTGTTTTATTACTTGGTATAAGTATGTGATATGGCTGTAATTAAGTGTACCATTATGTTGTAACAACATAAATATACTAATAAATTTGATAATTTTTGTTTACAAACTTACTCTGCTACTGTTTAAAACAATGTTGGTAGTATATTATTAACAATGTGTAAAATACAAAGTTATAGTTTCATAGCAATATACTTCTAAAACGATTGAAGAATATTGACATCACTTGTAAGTCTGTCAATAAATATCGAAATGTCGTTACAGAAGCAATAAAACAATTTCATATATGAAAAAAAAATGTTCATCATCATCATCAGCCTATCAGGGCCCACTGCTGAGCAAAGGCCTCTTTCTCACATGGAGAAGGTTTGAGCATTACTCACCTCGCTTGCTCAAGACGGGTTGGCGATTTCAAACTTATTATTGTGAAACTATAAGTCCAGGTTTCCTCACGATATTTTCCTTCACCGTATGTCAGTGGTGTCTAAATACTCTCAGAAAGTACATATGACTCCGAAAAATCACATTGGTACTTGCCAGGTTTGAACCCGCGCCCTCGGCAACGAGAGGCGGGCCCTTTAACCACTAGGCCACCATTGACTTAAAAAATAATAATTACATAATTAAATTAAAAATCAATTAAATGATATTCATATAAGGGTATAAAAATAATTGTTGTAAACTAATTCCTTATATTTTATATAATTTTTATATACTCCTATATTACGATAACCATTTTCCAAACCATAGTTCAAACATTAACATAGAGAGCATGAAATAAATTCTTATACAAATTGGAAATAAATCTAGTATTTCCATTACACCGTTAGACATCCTTAGAAGACCTCAAACCGCATACATTTGTTATTAACATACATAAAATGGTAACGAAGCAAGATAACAAAAGCGTATCTTCAAAGGTAAAAACTAGAGATACAAGACGGTCCCACACGTATTTGAATGTCACGTCCAATGGCATCGTGTGTCGATAACATAAAATTTACTCTTAATAAATTTAACATACAAGCTACAAAATCAATATATTTATAAACGAATTGCACTTACACTTTCTTTGGTACAGATTTTCAACATATTCAATTGATTATACGTATTTATTACATTAAAAAAATCTCTTTTATATTCTTTTTGAAGTTTTACGAATACACGCAAAATAAATTATTTTCTCTCTTATACAGACACAACCAAAACCATATACTATAAAAGATATCGCCTTTTAAAATAATCAGTATGTTGATGTGTCGACAAATGTACATTTGTGTCGAAACCATTGGATATGTCAACATCGTGTATCTTCACAATCACAGTACGTTGGAGATCGATGTATGTATAAGTCCATTTACATACCATCATGTCTCTTAAACCACCGATTTAAACCACTCTGAACTATTTTAATTAAATTGAGATAACGATATGTTTATAACTAAATACATAAGTTCACTTAGAATATATAACATTTTTCTATATAACAGTTCATTTTAGGTTGACCATAACATAGTATTTTATGGATATATTTCAAATTTAATACATATTATTAATAATCTATTTATTTTTTAATAATTTATACTAATCACCTCGTTTCGATGAAGCATGAAAGGGCATATTTCATACTTAAAATAGCAACGACACACACGTATATTTCTATAATAATTATACATAATACTAGCTTAAGGTAAATGCCAGTTATCTTATAATAAGCCCTTATTTCTATAGGAAATGTTATGGCAATCACACTATCACTCAAGCTGACTTTCCTGTACAAAGGGCAACTAATGTAATATGATTTAAACTGTAATAAAATATAACTCTTATTTCCTAAACCATAAGTGCTAGAACTCTCCGTAGATGTTCACATACGTGGACATACATGCGTAAATGCTAAACTAGTTTATGTAATTATATGTATTTAATATTAAATAATTTTAAGGAAATACTTTCATGATTTATAAGGCTCGTAACACTATTACGTTTTCAGTATATACCAAAATGTATAGCCTAATTACTGAGTGAATGTATGTTTATTTTATAATCAATTTATACATGATGTATAAATTATATAAAGATAAATATTATAAATAAAATAAAAGCCAGCTATGTACTTTTGTAGTTCAGTTCATTGGCGAAAGGACCCGCTACATCTTGCCACACCCTGTATCGATTGTATCTCAACTAAAGGATACATCATTCATACATCTTATCACGGTCATAAACTCGAATCTCGAACATGGGAATAATTAAAAATTAACAAAATTAACATAATTCAAACATCCATATTCATATTATAAGAATTTCGTTAAATGATATTACTTTAATTCTACATATGGACATAAGATGTATCATGGTTGCTACTTTCTCACGTATACTATGTCGCTTCACCGTTAATTGCGTCATAACTCGTGAAGCGACAGCCCTATCCGATCATAATGGCGTCTCTCACGCGTCACATATAAACACTATTTAAAACAAACATTCAAATAACAAACCAGATAAATCGAGACGATTGACAATCGCGTACGAGCCTTAACGACGTTAACTTGTATAGTACAATTGCAAACACTAATTTAAGTCGGTGCCTTATAAAGGGTGAAGTGTTAAGAATCCCAGCTTGATCGGCGTTTGTATCAACTCGAATTAAAAGTTGACGGACGTTTTAACCAAATAGGGTTGGCGCTTGATACTTTGCTTACTACCTATTCCCTCCCTCTCACCCCTTAATTGGGTGACAATATATTTTGATATAAAAATGTAATGTTTTTTAAATTAATTTCTATTAACTTTTTCTATTCCACATAAACCTACATATTGACATCGCGGGTACCACAATGAAAATCCCTCTTTTATTGGTTTCAAAAATAAATCTTATAAAGATATGTGTACAATATCTATATAATAGAAATATAGTATGTAAATTTACAAAATTTATTGAGCATATTCATTTTTTAAGTCTTTAATAATATAACTCAGTTGCTGTTGCTATGTCCAAGGATGCAGAATCAAGTTTTAAATGTAATAAGAGATTCCTTACATTCAAATACTCTCGCTCCGAAGCGATTTTGAAGACTATGGTTTACAAATCCGACTTCACATATAAATCATAAATAACAAATGAATCAGATTACTTCAATAAAATAACTTCATTCTGAAAACATATTCATTTTATTTAATTTCATTATCGATAAAACAATCCTGATACCGAAGATATAAAAACTAATAAAGCAAAAGTAAACTATATGTTCTTTAAAATATCTTTATTAATTTCTCATTATTTATCCAAAATTGTATATAAAATAATAATTTATATATAATAAAATACCGCAAGTAAAATTCCAAACAGGAATATTAAACAAACGTCCATATATAGGAATGTAAATCTAGTAACAAACTGGATCTGAAGTTAAGATTATAATGACAGCAGATAACTTAATATCCTGTACATATAATGGAAGTGCTTAAAGAAACGACGCTTAAGCATTCACTTTAATAAAACTCATTAATTAAATGTATCATTATATAAATGAATCATTTCGAATACAAAAAAAATCTAACACTATTTAAAATACGGCTATATTTATTTACAAAAAAACTCAATACTTTTTTCATAGATCGTCAAAAATTACAGTGAAAACGAGTATTCTATTTACATAGATATAAATGCCATTATACGAATGAACAATATGAATAATTTCGAATAAAAAAACAATGAATAATTAGGCAATAATAACCTGATTGCATTAATCCGCTCGACTCCCCTACTCGATAACAGAACAATCGTTTTGTCACATGCGAACAAATTGGCGTTAAGTATCGCACCTACTGAACCACGTCTCGACCGTATTGATACATACTTTAAAAATTAGAGACGAAACCTCTTAGCATTCAATGGATTCACCGTGCGGGTGCCGGGTCCATTGCGTTGCAGGGAGAGGAGCTTCAACAGTGCCTGGGACTTGCGACCCAGGTGTAGGTTTAAGGGGCCCCTTAACTAACGCGCGTTATACGCTCACCTCCACTGTCCAAGTTCCTCTCCCTACCTAACCAAATTTGAAAAGAACCTACTAGGGCTGCCTTCGACGTACGTTCTAAGAATGAATTAATGTTAGTTCTGGACAGGCCCAAGTCTTTTAGTAGGTTATAGAGAGATTTAGCTGTTATACCTCTCGCTCCCACCTCTACCGCGTACAAATCAACGACGAACCTATTTCGAGTTAGTTCGTTAGTGAGCTCGTAATACTTATTGACCTTGATGGCATGGTCTTTGGGGATGTTGGTTTCCCAAGGCACCGTAAGCTCTATCATCACAACGCGCTTTAAAATACGCGAATATAGAAATATGTCTGGTCTGGAGGCCGACGCACAAATATCCTCGGGGATTTTGTATTGTTTCTCATACGTATCCATCATGATAGTCCAATCCGAAGCCGCTTTAAGGATAGAGTAAGGCTTGACGTTTGATTTTATAGCCCTGGTGCCCTCTCTCACAAAACCTATTGATCGCTCGTTTGTGGTTATTTCCCTTTGCGCTCTGGCTACCGAAAGACTAACCGCTTCACGTATGATCTCTAAAACCCTATCGTGACGACGCGAGTATTGACCGCTGTCCAGGAGAACCTTACATCCCACCAGCAAATGCTTGGCAGTTCCAACTGCCTTTCCGCAGATATAGCAAGTTTTTTCGGTACCTTTACCCCATCTTACTAAATTACTCTGATCTGGGAGAGTCATCTGGAACGCATTGAGATAAAATTTTAGCAAGGCTGGCGACCAGTCATGAATTAGGGTGCGCCATTTTAGTGCTAGTGGAATGCAAAAATCTCCTATGTCTAACCACTCGTTCTGCATTTCTAAACTCATTGCATGGATCTTGTATTTATCGTTCTCGTCTTGCCGAATAAAAGACTTCAATATATCCGTATCTTGGACTTTCCTACTTGATCCTAACCCTACTCTGTTATTTTGCGCTCCGATCATAAATTGTTTATGGAATTGAAGTCGTGACTCTAGCTCTGGGGCATCATTGTCTTTTGGGAGTGATGTAACGACGTCATCATGGGATTTTCCCAGGATATGTCTCTTGGAAACTCTTAGGTGTTTGTAGAGCTCCGATGGTCTTTTTAGATTCATCCCAAAACTATTACGATCCCTGAATAAAGCCGATGAATCAGCCGTTAGCGCGAGCCCGAGCCACAACTTCAACATCTTTATGACGCCTGCATCTAATTTAGATAAAAAAGGGTTTTACTAAAATCATAGACGAGGAAAGGCCAATTCAAACGTGAAGTTAAGTAATTATCGTAGATCCATGCTTTTTTTACGTTACTGATCTGCTGGCTATCTACCTTGTTAAGATCATTTAAAAAGCTATCTACTATTCCTTCTAAAGATGGAGTACGACCTATATTATCAATCTTACGACCGAGAAACTTGAATGGTGCATCTTCCGTAACCGTAGAAACGCATTGACCGCCTAACGATAGCCCCGGATCGTACTGATACCCCTACTAATATTATAAATGCGAAAGTAACTCTGTCTGTCTGTATGTTACGCTTTCACGCCTAAAACACTGAACTGATTTTAATGAAATTTGGTCCAGATATAGAGTAGACCTTGAGAAAGAACATAGGATAGTTTTTATTCCAGAATTTTGAAAGGTTCTCTTGGGTACGCGATATAACCGAACTCCACGCGGGCGAAGCTGAGGGCGGAAAGCTAGTTATATATAAACAAATTGATGTTATCAACATTTCAATTTGCTGTAACATGTTTTATATTTTAACATGATTTATAAGTTCAAATGTCCAGCAGAACATGCATCTTGCGCCAATATTCTTAGCAAAGGAAGCGCCGTCATGATGGATCGTCTCACTACACTTTCAATAACATGAATTTCCGCATACAGCCCTATCATTCGAAAATGACAGCTATGTATATTGAAATTATATGAGATAAAGAGATTCCTGTTGTATTTTTAACATATATATAATTTTAATAAGGTTTATAAATTATATTTACATGAAAAAAAAAATCAGTACATTTTTTAACTATAGTGTTTCTAAAGTTTTGTGGGTGTTGTGTTGTAAAGATCATAAAGTTACAAAGAAAATGCACTTTTATCACAAAGTTCCTATTTGTCAGGTAACAAACTATTTCTTAGTTTCCGGGCATAGAATTCAAGATGCACTGATATCATCTGGAGGTTTTAAAGACTGAGCGTCGTTTTTATACTATTCATTAGTTATCAAGGCATCTGAATTGGCAAAAAAAATTACAAAAATAAAACATTTTTGTTCTATTTATTTCCTCTCATTGAATACTTTTTTTGTTTTTAACTACAAAACCGTAAATTTTTTTTGATTGATTTTTTTTTCGTCCCGATTAAGTTCATCAAAAATACAAGAACAAAAAATCTGATAATGAATTTAAAGCTATGTTTTAATATTAATGAATGCTATAAGAATATAAAGCTAGTATCAAATACATTCCAAGTGCGCACTATATGCGGAAACAATGAGGGATCAGCCTCAATTGGCCGGTTGTAATTTGTTCCCATTGTCCCGACCCTAGTTCCTCTGGGACCCCGTGACCTTACTGATGCCCTAATTTCATGTCTTTTCATACAAATTGACAGATAATCTTGTTATTACATATAATATCCTTGATTAATGACAATAATGAAATTAAATTCAAAATAATTGGTACAATAATTGACAGCCAAAATAAGTGGAAGACTATTTACAATATGAAGAATATTTTATAATATTATGACTTTAAAAACTTTGGCAGATTTTTTATGGCGTAAGACCGATGACATCATTAATACTATCAAAAATTTTGTTTCTCTAAAACCTTCATTAAAAAGTAACTGTGATAAAGGCAGAAAAAACATGTATAAATTCGCTAAATAACAATATTGCAATATTGGAAACATCCAAGACGTATCTAAAATAAAAACCTCGAATTTTTCCACCATATGCCAATTGACATGAAGAATAAAAATCCTTGAGATATCATTAAAACCAATCTGATAAACATTGTTATAGTCGTGAAATCTTCAAAAGAAACACAAAAACAAAACACACGGAACATTTAATACAAAAAAAAAAATATTCTTATCTCTGCTTACAAATGGACGGGTCGCAATCACAAGATCTCAAGCAATTATACCATTCCTGACCGGAGGCAATCAAAATAATTGTCTCAATTTAACACTTTCTTACCCAAACAAGATAAGCAACCAGCTAATAGTTAGTTTTAATTATTATCGGAGACATAATATCAAGTGTTCCTAGTTAATGATATTCAAGGGAAATTAGTTTTACGGCTCCTAGGAAACAGACACGAAGTAATTTATATCTTTTGTAGATATTACAGTATTCTTCACACCTGCCACTAATGAAATTTATATATACATGTATAAATGTATATTCGTATAAATGTATAATCGGTCCAAATATTTTGCGATTCATTATCATTGTATGTCTGTGCGTGTGACCTTTTAGCGGCAACCGAAATGCAAATTCACCGCATCGCTTATGCAATCTTGTTTTATTTGTGCAATAAAACAATTAACAAGCATTTACTCCGGCTCTGCTACCGTACGAGTGTTGTAATAAAAATATATGATGCGATTATTACTGACATAAAATAAAATACTATTATATTCATTTATTTATTTACTGTTTAAATATACGTATGCATCACCAATTATTTTTTTAGACGTATATATGTATTTCTGTCGAATTCTTTAAAAGATAAATTGTAAACTAGGCTTTATGTTCATGAAATAATATTTTTTGTGAGATATTCTCAGCCAGATGAACAAAATACTATTCAAATTAATACATTTTTTTATATATAAAAATACGAACATACAAACATATTGTATATATAAAATATATTTATCTTCTCCGCTGGTGTCGTGTGTTGATTGGATTCGTGAGAGATATTGTTCTTTTAAAAGACCGCTTGATTGAAAGCCTTAAGTAACTTCGTATTGTCTTAAGTCATGCAATGGGAAAGTTTTATCCTTATTTTGTCTTAAGTTTAAGCCATAATTCTATATACGTCGAGAAGATTTTTTTGTTTTCGGATGGGTTATTCTTAAGTTTTTTTGCATAACCAACCTATTAACAATGGATCATTAAAAAAAACTAAAAGAAAAAATACGAATTATTGAGTACAAAAAGTATTTTATGAAGAAAAACATGAATATACCTAATACAACATTAACAAATAACAGCATAAGAGTAAATAAAATTAAAGGAAGTGTCGTAATAGCACTATTCTAGATTCTAGGTCTTCCCCAATTAAAATGCGTATTGCCAAACGGCAGTGTAATGACCTGCATACCGTCAACTTGATCTATGTGAAGACAGAGTGGTTGTTAGCAAGATGTTTATTGGTGCAAGTTAGACACTGAAGCGTTTTAACTAATATAAAATAAATACACAGAGCACTACCTATAAAATACTTCATAAATAATTCAATTAAAGATAAAATATTATTCAATTAAATTTATTTTTATGTTTAAATTCATTAAATTTAAACGATTCTATTAATAGATATTTTTAATAACTCTGAAAAGACATTTCGTAAACGAGCGCTGAAAATATTGAGAGATGCAAATGAATAAATAAATTATAAATAAATTATAAATGTTTAATTATAAATTTTTAATTGTTATTTGTATTAATTTAAGTTTGTATTGTTTTCAATATTTTTTAGTAATTTTTATGAATGAATTTACTTATTATTATTATTATTGTTATTATTATTATTATTATTGTTATTATTATTATTATTTGGATCTTCTTGATATAATTATATATTAATATATTTTTAAAACAATGTGATCGTTGTGGCCACTTTAATAAGCTACACATGTTACCTGTTTCCGTTTAATTGTGTTGTATTCGAAGTTTTAACATGTAGTAGCTGCTAGTGGCCCTCAAAATAAATAAATAAATAAATAAATAAATAAATAAATAGTTTTAATAATTTTGAACGTCTTTGTCAAAGTTAATTACTAATAATTTTGAAATAAATATTATTATTTTATTAGGTATAAACATTTTATTAACTCGCAATAATCTCATAACTTAAGACGTAAGCTATATTATGCATTTATTTTTAAGACAGAAAAAGGCCAAAGTATATTTCGCTATATTTATAAGCTTGATGTATTAGTCATTAAAAATATATGTATATATGTTTAGAATTTGTTTATTTTTATAGTATTTAAAGATATATGTTTATTTGTTGTTACATACATATATATGTAGAAATCGTTTCATCTTGATAATGATGAGAAAAAACTTGTTTTTGATTAATAATTATTGAAAAAATAATAAATCATTCCCTTTTAACTGTTTTTATTTGTAATGACTGATTCCTTTTTACTTCAATCTATTTTATTGCATTTTAAACAAGCCTACTTCAGGTACTTTGGACAAGTCTAATTTCGGTATTTAACAAGTATAAAACATTTATGTACCTGTCTCTAATTATTTTTGATATAATATTTTTCTTATCTCAATAGGTCAATAGATTACATGCAAACAAATGTTCTTTCATATTTTTTCACATAAAAAAAATTAAAAATTCTAAGTGGTTTCATGGACATTTGTGATTCAAGATCGTATCTTAATATTGAGGTTAATCAATCAATAGTTAGATACAAGTAATAGAAAATCTACTGTCGTTACGAAAACAAAAGAGTTTTTCTAAATATCTTAACTTAAGTATCAAGTCGGGAATTGAACCCGAGAATTACGATTTTATAACAACGTTGTGTAACCACTAGTCATAGTGAAATTATTTATATAAAGTTTATACGTCTATTAAGCAATCTAGTAAAAATTATCGTACGTATTGTAATTAAATATGTTTTTGAATAACATATTATGTAGGTAAGTCCATAAATTTCTAATATGAAGAACCTCGATATTAACCTTAAATCTAGCCTTCAAAGCGTGATAATATCTGGTGTTATACAACTGGAATGAGATCATTTGTTATAGTGATATGATTATTTATTCAAATAAAGCAATTATCTCGAACAGAAGGCACGGTATGTTGCATTACAATAAATCTCATTCGTTCACTTTCCTAAATTGATATTGTAATCCGCTCCGTCTCGTTCTTGTTTCACAAAACGTATAACGAATGAAGACGTTGTGATGCTGCTTCGTTAAATTGC